TCCTAGATCTCAAAGACCCATTTTTCTATCCCTCTAGACCCCTGCTCCCAAGATTTTTTCATCTTCACCTGGACGGACCCATACACAAGACATTCTAAACAACTCACTTGGTCAGTTTTGCCACAAAGCTTCCGAGATAGTCCCCATATTTTTAGACAGGTCCTAGCTCAGGACCTCAAACAGTTTCATCATGATCACTCCAAGTCCACCTTATAATACATAGACAATCTTCTACTCTGCAGTCTCTCGTGGGAACAGTCTCAACTTGACACTGCCTCCCTACTTAACCTTCTAGCTTCCAGAAGTTACCGAGTATCCCCCGTCAAAGCTCAAATCTCTTCCCCTCCTGTCACTTACCTCAGATTCCTTCTATCTCAACAAAGAAAGTCCATTACCTTAGACAGAAAATGGCTCCTCTCTGACCTGCCCATTCCCAAAACCAAGACAGAAATCCTTTCCTTTCTAAGCCTGGCTAGATATTTTAGAGCGTAGATCCCTAACTTCTCCCTGCTCCCTGTTGGCAAGACCCCTATACGACCTCAGCAAGAGCCCCCCTAAAAAACCATTATCCTCCTCACCCCGACACTCCTTCATTAAGCTCCGTCAAGCCCTTGTGGAAGCCCCAGCTCTCCATCTTCCTGATTTGTCGAAGCCCTTCTCATTATACATTCATGAGAGGTCCAGTCAAGCTCTAGGAGTCCTAGGCCAATATTATGGCCCATCCTTTGCCCCAGTAGCTTATCTCTCCAAGCAATTAGACCCCACAGTTCAGGGATGGGCCCCCTGCCTACGAGCATTAGCCGCTAGACAGCTCTTGCAGAAAGAAGCTCATAAACTGACATTCAGGGCGCCCCTTACCATTCTGTCCCCACATCACCTAAAAGATCTCTTAACCTACAAAAGTTTACAGACTCTCCCTCCCTCCAGACTCCTGACCTTACTGTCCTCTTTCCTCCAAAATCCCGTTCACCCCCTTTGCCATCCATACCCGAATCATGACTTTTTCCTCCTTTACTGCTCTCTCGCTTTTTTTCCTCATTCCTATTGTCTTCCCCGCCACCCCAGCCTCCTTTGTATGGCGATTCAAAGTCAGACAGACTTACACACAGCATCAAACAAAAGTTACTGCCCTCATTGCCACACCAGACTGCCCTCTGAAAAGCTGCTCTGAGCCTTTATACCTCCACTTTCCTCCCTCCACTGAAGTGTTCACTAGCAGCTACCCTTATTCTCCCTACCTCTGCTTCCTCTATGACCAAAAACAAGCCTATTGCAGGTGATGGCCAGACACCTACAGGAGATGTCCCTACTGGTCTTGCGCCATTCACTACATGGGTAACTTCCAGTACCCACAGTATTACTCCTCCAACCGTTTCATGAAATATCCCAACGGCTCATTCTCCTTATCAATCCCAGATCCCTGGGACTCTCGATGGGCTGCCAGAGTCACAGCCTCAGTTTACTATGGGGGGGTCCTCGACCCCCCACAGTACCCTTCATATCTCTCGAAAGTATGTTCCCTCTCATTCCCAGATCTCTCAAGTTGCATCAGATAGCAGACATTCCGAAAAAGTCATTATCCAAACTCTTGACAGCGCCTCTTCATCTTCTTATCCCCACCCCTCTTCCCATTTCTCCTACTCTTCATTACAGCTCATTCAGGACACCACCATCTTTCTCAACCACACCCTTAACACAGCCAATTGTTTCTTGTGCGCATCACTACAGCGCCCACTGCTGGCCGCCGTGCCCCTTAATATTTCCAACTACTCCTTCCATGCAGAAAGACAACCCCTCTGCCCCCTGGCAGACATACCCCTATGGGAACCAGAATACGCAGATAATCTCACCATCCACCACTGTGTAAGCCCAACTCCACCCCCCTCCAGCGCACTTCACTGCCTCTCTATCTACACCCCTACCTCCGGCTCTAAGACTTTTACGCAACCGGGACACTTCTTTTAGTGTAATGGCAGTCTTTTCAACTCACTGCCTCTCAACTCCGATACACCCTGCATTCTCGTCACCCTAATCCCACAGTTTACACTTTACAGCATGGCAGAATTCCTTGAGCTCCAACCTCCCTTGCCCTCGCGCACAAAAAGAGCTGCTTTCCTTCCCATCATGGTCAGTAGCTCTTTGATCACCTCAGCCATTGGGGCAGGGTTTTCGGGAGAAGCCTTGGGTCACTCTCTATAGGCAGTTAGAGATCTCGACGCCAAACTTGAGGGAGCCCTGACATCCACTGCCGATTCTCTAGCCTCTCTCCAAAGACAAGTCACTTCGCTAGCTAAAGTCACCCTTCAAAACCGGCGGGCCCTAGATCTGCTTACAGCCGAGAAGGGTGGCACCTGCGTCTTCCTCCGGGAAGAGTGCTGCTATTACATCAACGAATCCGGCATTGTAGAAACTGACATCACCAAACTCACTGACCTTGCCTCCAGCCTCCACTCTGCTTCCAATTCCAACCCATTCTCTTCAATACTAACAAACCCCCTCCTCACCTGGCTCTGGCCCATTGCAGGCCCCATAATAGTCATTCTTCTTGTCTGTCTCTTCTTACCCTGTATAATAAAGTTCATCAAATCCCAAGTCGGGAAAATCTCTAATCAAGCTTTCAACCAGCTTTTACTCAGGAACTACCAGCTTCTGGCCACGGAAGACCCCTCACCCTCACGTGACCTCCTCACCACATGCTGAGATGGACCCCTCTCTCCACTGGAAACTGTTCCTGGAAACAATGGCCGCAGACGCCTGGCTCCTGACACCCATATCCTCTTGGCACCATTGGAATCAACAGGTCCTCAACCTATGGTTACAGGGAACCTTCATTGATTTCCAACCTGAAGAAGTCCACATCTACTCATCCTTACTGTGGGGAGTCCTATCAACCCTTTCCTCCCAATCCTCAAACCCTCACTCCCTTCTCCGCCCCTGTTCAGCAGGAAGCAGTCAGAGAGAAAGCAACGTCCACAAACCCATAGAGGAGAAAGGGGGGAATGAAGGGTCCCCACCAGTAAGATGGCAAACTTCCGGCTTCTCTTCGGGGTCCTCAGTTCCCGCCGGCGCCACCTGAAGCCCAATCACCTCTCGCCCCCCTCCCAATCCCAGCACCTAGCCAACAGCCAACAGCCCCGTAGAAGTGACACCTCAATCAATTCATGCCCCTTCCTATATAACCCAGCACCTTTCCCTAATAAAGCAGAACTCTCTGGTGAATTGCTGCTATGTGTCGCTCCTTTCCTTTCAGCTTTCTTAGCATCTTCTCCTTTCTGGAGATTCTTCTCTCTCTCTCTTTCTCAGCTTTGTTGTTTTCCTGTTCTCTGATTTCCATCTCATTGATTTTCTCCTCTACTTGCAGAAACCTATTATGCATTCACTCCATTGCATTTTTCATTTCAGTCACTGTATCTTCAGCTCTGAGTGGCCCTTTTTCAGTTCTTCTGTCTTTTTGTTGAAGTCTTCCATGAGATCATCAGTATTTTTCCACAGATCAGTGAGCATGTTTATGAATGTTACTTTGAAATCTTTATCAAGAAGATTGGTGATCTGTTTCACTTAGTCCTCTTTCTGGTGTCCTATAGTTTTGTTTATAACATATTACTCTGCCTCCTCATTTTGTCAGTGTTTTTTGTTTCTTCCTTTGTATTAGATAGATCAACCGTGCCTCCTGGTCTAGAGAGTAATGGCTATATGCAGAAGTCATCCTGTGGCGCCCAGAAACTCAAGACTCTGCTTACCTGTGCCTGGTTATCTTTTGCAGTGTAGCTGCAGTTGCTGTTGGAGGCCATCGTCTTTCTGCTGGGGTAGTTGTGGGTGGGGTCACCCTCTGCCTGCCCTGCAGGGATTGCAGAGCTGCTGGACCAGTGGGATCAGCAGGGAGGGTGTGCAGGGAGCACAGTATGGGGCTGGGCAGCCAGCAAGGACCAAGGAGCATTTGGAGCTGGCTCCTACAGGCACCTCCCCAGTTAGGCTGAGAGAGTGCCAGGAAAGCTGGAAAAGCCTCCCTCTGCCTGCTAGGCAGCAGAGTCTCCCTTTGCCTGCCAGGCATCAAAGTCTGACAGCTGTCTGGCTGGGCTGAGTGGATTGGGCAGGTTGGCAGATGCACAGGGAAGCACCTTGGCCTGAGATGCCATGGAGGGGGATGGAGCATTTCTTCAGTTGGGCTGCAGGAGGGCCAGGGAAGTGTAGTTTACCTGCCCTTTTCCTGCTGAGAGAGTGCCATCTAACCCTCACCCCACTGGCACCCTTCTTGTTTCTGGTAAATCTCAGACAGATCTCCAGGGCCAGGTGTGCAGAGTTCCTGAGTGCTTATCCACTTCCCACTCTGTTCCTCTCCCTCCCGCTTTGGGTTGCTGGGATTGACCAACAGAGTGCATCTTTCTGTTGGTCAAGGGACTACACTTTGAGAACCACTGGTTCTCAAAGTATAAGGTATTCATAGCCTACAATGAATTAACTTCCCTTCTTTGTATCTAGAATGGTACTAGCTAGGTATCATCCTTGGTTGAATGAGAAAATACAATTTTTCTGACCCATGTAATTTTTTGTATGGCTTAATTCTCTCACAGAACCTTGGTATAAGAATAAGACACAAAAAATGATTATTTCTTTCAGCTTTTGATCTCATGATTATTTTGTCCCACTTAACCTGGGTTAGGAAAAGTGCTACTGATACATATTTTTTAAATGGACCCTTTATTATATTAATATGTATATGATGTCTCTAATCTGAAAATGCTCTGAACCCTCACCCAAATAATAATCAGATACAAGCAGCACATCTTAAATAATTGAACCACATAATCCTCCTGTGTAGTATGAATCAAATTATAGCATCCCCATTTTTTAGTATAGTAAAACTATTAGGAGAAACTCATTAAAGGAATTAGGAATGAATTTGAAGTCCTTTGATTTACTAATTCTGGTTCTTTGCTCACTGAAGCTCATTGAAATGATAGAAAATGTTAATTTACCGACTTTTTGTGTGCTTTATTTAGGTAATCCACTGTATGACAGCCTCGGTTCGTTGGGTGTGGGCACCTTATTAGGCGTGGTCTCAGCATTCCTCATCCACACTAACACTGAAGCACTTTTAGGGCGATCCATCCAGCCAGAGCAAGTACAGCGGCTTACCGAACTCCTGGAGAGTGACCCATCAGTAAGGTCAGCTTATTCCAACGATGCTGTTGAGGTTTACAAAAACATACTAAGGAAAAGAAGTGCTTGGTTTATAAATACTTTCAGAAGAGGTTGTGGATCTTTAGCTTTCAGAACTTTTTAATCTGTTATTTTCCAGAATTGCAGCCTTCGAAGAAAGCAAATGAAAGCATTTCAGAAACTCTAAATTTCCTTTTAAATTCTGTATGTCTTTCATTGTTAGAAAAAGGAACAGTTAGATAATATGGAACAGAAGTTTTCAGAATTTGTCTCTGTAATATGAAACTTCTGATGTAGAACCTTCATATTTATATTTGCCTTATATTTGTATTGTAATTACAAACTGAATATATTAAATTTAAGGAGATTTTTATTCATAGGGAAGTGATTACCAAATTGAATATAATTTATACTCCTTTTGAAAATAGACTTCTTATTTAGGTTATTTTAAATGTTTTCCCTTCTAATCTTTATCTTTTAAATGATATAAGAATAAAGAACTGAAGACTTGGGAGATAATCAGAAGAGATAGAGAGTTCTAAAAGTACTTTTTAGTGAAATTCAGCAGTAGTGTGGTTTCAGAGTGAAGTGGAAGGAACAGCTATTTGAAAGTCCCAATTTTCTACTAGTTACACATATGTGTATGTATATATATATGTTAAAAGAATATATTTTTCTTTTGTGTTAATAATTAAAATCTTTAAGTTAAATCTTTTAAGAATGACCTGTATATCTGAAGCAGTAAAACAAATAAGTGATTACTAGGTTTATAGTCTTAAGCCCTATATGTTTAGTCTCAGAAAGTAGTTACGTAGTCAAATCAAGATCAAAAGTAGAGCTTAATTAAAATCAACACTAGGCTTAGAAACAAAGTGTGAGATAATCCTTTCCTTGATGATATATATGTCTGATTTTGGTATCAAGTTATTACTATATAGAAGCTAGGAAGTGTTCCTTCATCTCTTTTTTTAGGGGGGGTCGTTTGAAGAATTGTTATTTCTTTTTTAATATTTGGTAGAATTCAGCAGTGATGCTATCTGGTCATAGGATTTTCTGTTTGGGTAACTTTTTGGTTACTTATTGTGATAGGTCTGTTCAGATTGTCTACTTCTTTTGTGTTAGTTTTAATAGTTCGTGCTTTCTAGGAATTTGTCCACTCTTTCTAAATTTTCTAATTTGTCAGCATACAACTGTTCATAGTATTCCTTTGTAATCCTTTTTATTTCTTTAGTGTTAGTAGTAGTACCTCCTCTTCCATTTTTTATTCTAGTAATTTGAGTCTTATTTTCCTTGGTCAGTCTAGCTAAAGGTTTGTCATTTGTTGATCTTTTCAGAGGACCATCTTTTGGATGGATCTATTTTCTGTTGTTTTTCTCTTCTCTAGTTCATGATTCAGCTCTAACCTATATTATTTCCTTCCTTCTGCATGCTTTAGGTGTAGTTTGCTCTTTTTCCAGTGTGTTATGGTGGTAGGTTAAATTTTTGATTTGATACCTAGCTTCTTTTTTTTTTTTTTTTTTTTTTTACCCCCACCCCCAGTGCTAGCTTCTTTTTTAATATAGGCTTTTACAGTTATAAATTTCCCTGTAACTACTGTTTTTGCTGCATTCTATAAATTTTGAAATGTTGTCTCTTCGTTTTCATTCATTCAAAGTATTTTCTGATTTCACCTTTGGCCACTGGCTATTTAGGAGCGTGTTGGTTAATTTCCACATATTTGTGAGTTTCCCAAATTTGGAGAATATTATTTGTATTATTTCTGAACCTTTAAACTTACTGAGGTTTGTTTTACGGCCTAGTTAGTGGTCTTGGATAATGTTGCACACGTACTTGATAAGAATGTGTATTCTGCTGTTGGTGGAGTGTGGTGTAGATGTCTCTTAGGTTTAGTTGGTTTATAGTGTTCAATCCTTCCATTTCCCTGTTGATCTTCTTGCCTAGTTATATCCATTATTGAGAGTAAGTTATTAAAGTCTGTAGTTATTTAAACAGCATAATAGATATCTATTGCTATGTGAAAAATTAACCCAAAACTCTTAAAACAGCCTTTACTACCTCACAGTTTCTGTGGGTCAGGAGTCTGGGCACAGTTTACCTGGATCCTCTACCTCAGGGTTTCTCACAGACTGCAGTCAGGGTGTTGGCTGAAATTACAGTCATGTCCTGGAGAAGGATCTGCTTCTAAGCTTATTCACATAATTGTTGACAGGATTTAACTTCTTATTGCATGAGCCTTTCCAGCTCAGCAGCTTGCTTAATCAAGCATGCAAGTTGAGAAGGCAATAGATACTAAGTGTGAAAAGATAAAAGTCATAGATGAGTCGTCTAATTGGAAATGTCAATGGAAATGTATCTCATCACTTTGCCATATTCTGTTGGTTAGGAGCAAGTCACTAGGTCTAGCCCAAGTTCAAGAATTGTACAAGGGCTTGACTGTAGAAGGTGGAGATCATTGGGAGCTATGACAAACTGTAGTTATGTATAAGAACATAAGGGAAAAATACAATATTTTCATGAACTGCTATTTAAGTATTAGTCAAATAATGAAATTTTAAAAAATTTTCTTAGGACTGAGGTAGATAATTTTTTTTAATTGAATAAATTATATTGCCTGGTGCCAATCTGGGAAGCGTTTGTCTAAATTTGGGCATATATGACTTTATAATTATGAAATCATTAATTCTTACTTCCACCCTGGATAGTTGATAAGTATGCTTTGTTATTTATATGGACAGAGAATTTTAGACTCAGTATTTAATAACTTGCTCAAAATCACTCAGAAATTAGTGTAAAATGTTTTAGGACTACTTGGAGTCTCGTTTAGGCTTGTTTTCCCAGTAGCTCTCTATGTCCCCAGAAGTCAGAGTGTTTTTTATTTTTTTATATATCCTGTAAAGAACAGATGTTATACTGATTACCATGGAAAGAACAGAATTTCTCAACAGTTTTTTAGGGAAGATTGATTCCTGACGGTTAAGGCAGGAGGGATGAAAAGCAGTTATGCTGATCATCTGGGAGCAGGATGGTATAATGGAAAGACAATTGGGTTTAGGTATCTAAAGATCTGGGATGAGTCCTAGCTTAGCTGGTGACTAGCTGAATTACTTTAGGCAAGTCACTTGTGCCCCTCTGGGTCTGTTTTATTACCTGAAAAGTAAAGATGGCATACTACATTAAACATTTTATATATGTGTTGGCTCATTAGTCCCCACAGTAGTCTCATTAGGTAGTTATTATTAACCTTATTCTAATAGAGAACTTCACAGAGTTGTATGAAAACTTTTAGAGAAGCTCTTGAAAAAAAGCAAAAAAGGGTTATGAGATAAAATGACAGTGTTGTAGAAAGTCAGTTTAGAGTTGCTTTTTTTAATCCACAAGCTATATAATTCATCTATTTACAAATTACCACAAGATAAATATTTGTTAACTTTACACCCTTCTATGGCATTATGCAAGAAAAGCTAAATGGACCCTTAATTTAGAAATTGATAGGTGGCCCTTAGTGGTGAACACTCTCTTAGCCATCTTCTTCCATTTTCATCACTGGTAGAAAAAAACAAGAATTCTAGAGTTTGTGCCATTAAAATGTGTACATGTGTATGTGTGTGTATATAAACTTGTATGCATTGTTTTTAATTTCAGGGCAATTCATGATGTTAAAGCCACAGACCTTGGATTAGGGAAAGTAAGATTTAAGGCAGAAGTAGATTTTGATGGAAGAGTTGTTACAAGATCATATTTGGAAAAACAAGATTTTGACCAAATGCTACAAGTAAGTTTATGTATTGTTATCTTAGATGGCCAAGGTTTAGAAAATTTTCTTTTTAAGTAAATAAGGTAAAGTTTTTTCTTTTACAGGTCTTAAGTCACTTCAACTTTCAACTTCTTAGGGTTCCAAAATTTGACAAAAACAGGGTCTTTATTTACAGTGGAGTAGGTTGGAGGAGACAGCAGAAGAGCAGTGCTTGTTCTATGCCAGGCATTTTTATCTATGTTATCTAATTTACTCTCAACAACCCTGTGAAGTAAAGAAATATTCTCATTTTTATATATAGACATATTGAGACACAGAAAGATTAAATAACTTACCTAAAATTACAGAGCCATAATATGGAGTAAGATACAAATTTGGATCTCTCTAATTCCAGAACCCTGTTTTTTAATTAAGAATAGTTTAAAAGAGAATTTACAGAGGATAATTTAATGAACAGCATAGAGGTTACCACTTGATTTTGTCAAATCTTGATATTTTATTGCACTATATGCTTAAGATCTAAAGAAATAAGTTATTCCAAAAACAGTTGAAGCCCTTGTTTTCTTCTTCTAGATCCCATTCTCTTCTCTACTTGCCTAGAACTAACGATTATCTTGAATTTAGTTCTTGTCATTTCTGTTCAGGTTTTTTAACTTTTCAACATAATTATCTTGGCATAATATATATTAAATTTTGGGATGTTTGAAAATGATGTAAATGACATAATGCTGTATGATTCCCTGTATAATTTAATTAACAGCATATTTTGAGATTCTTCCACATTAAGATATATATTAAAATACATACCTCTAAGTAATTTATTTTTCTTTGCTATATAGTATTTTATCTTATGAGTATGCTGTAGTGTATTCAGTTTCCAATTGATATTTATATCATTTCCAATGTTAAACTATTAGAAGCAGTGTTATAACATGCTTTTTTGTTCCCACTGGCAAGAATTTCTTGAGTACAGTATGTAGCTAGATTTGAAATAGGTTGGCCATTGGATGAACATATTTTCAGCTTTCCTATATATTGACAAATTGTTCTCCAAAGTGTGTCAGTTTAACTGCCACCATCAATGTATTAAAGTTCTACTTCATATTCTTGCAAGACTTTTAATAGTTTTGAAATTTTTGTCATTATGTGAATTTTGGTGATTTATATTTCCCTTGTGAGGTTATTAGTAAGCACTGGAATTTATTGACCATTGGGATTTCCTCTACTTGCTTCTTTGTTTGTTTAGTTAATTTCTACTATTACGACAAATTTGTAAACATTTTATTTTTAATATACTGGTCACTAGTCCATCCTCAGGTATGTATATGCAAATATCTTTTCTAGTTTGTGATTTACTGTTTTTTGTTGTACAGAAGATTTAATGTAGTTTTAATTTTATGTCAAATTTGTTTTCTTTTTCTCTGTGCTTTTTATCTTGTTTGAGAAATTGTTGTACCATTATCATAAAAATTCTTTCTTTCTCTAAAAATTTTAAGGTTTATTTTTTACCCTTAGTTTTTTAATCTGCCTAGAGTTGTTCGTTTGTTTGATGATCCTAGGTAGGGATTTAATATTTTTTTCTTATTATCTAAGAAAAATAATTGCCCTGGAACTATTTATTGATAGTCTATTTTTTTCCCCCACTAATTTTGTAATGCTGTCCTGGAACATTCTACTCAATTTTTTCTTGAATAAAATTTTTTCAGAAATAGGTGGTCCATTGCCTGTGGCTTGAAAGTTTTTCATTTTTCATTAAACTTAATGGTGTTTGTTATAAGTTTTTTTTAAGGAAATCAGTGTACCAGTATTAGTTTTTAAAATTTTTGTTTTGTTTTTCTGCTTTCATTTTCTTTATAGGAAATTCAAGAAGTGAAAACTCCTGAAGAACTAGAGACCTTTATGCTTAAACATGGAGAAAATATTATTGATACTTTAGGGGCCGAAGTAGATAGACTTGAGAGAGAACTGAAAGTAAGAAATACTCAGCTAATGATATAATAATCTCAGCTGTTTTTTTGAATACTTGACTTTGTGTCAGACACTGTGCTAATTGCATCATGTGTCATTTTAATAACCTCATCATGTATTGGTAGTTATGTGTGTGAAAAATGACTGGGTTAGAAAGTTGGATTATTTACTCAAAGAAGTAAGGGAATTAGGATCTGAACTTTTGTTGTTCAGTTCTAATTTCTGTACTTTAAACTACTATTCTGTATTGCTTGCTTAGTTTTTTAAATAAGCAGCATTTTGAAAATTTTTAGAGAAAGGTGAAAAGGAAACTTGAGACTGTTCAAAAGTTAAAAAAAAAAAAGATTTTGACCTTGAACGCACACATACATCTTTCTTTAGTTCATCTAACATTATTTTATATTTTCTGTTCAGTTGGATATCATTACAACCTACTATTTTTTTACTGAAATCCTGATCAGACTGCCTTTCTAATGTGTCAGTGCTCTTAAGACAGTTTTGAAATGACATTTGAGTGCTATTTGTTTGCAATGGAATAAAACTTGCAAATGATCTTAAACATATTTAGCTTGAAGGTAATGCATATTCTTTAGCTGATGTTGACCATTCTTTAGTTTTGTTAAAAATTGAAGGGAAACAAAAAAAAAATGGAGGGAAACATTTCTATCACTACTTTATCTTTTCTTTTAGAATCTAAATATCTGATGAGATTAATAGAAGCACTTCAAATAAGATGATTTTGTTAATGTTTATAAAGATGTTTACCATCTTTGTCAGGCATGATTTTCAAAGTTTCTAGATGAATAATTCTCAAATATTTTGGTCATAGGACTCTTCACATTCTTAAAAGCTTTTTGGATCCTTAATAATTTTTATTTATTTGAGTTATATTTATTGGTATTTACAAAATCATAAATTAAAACTGAGAAACATAAATGTATTTATTCATTTTAAAAAACATAACCTAATAAATGTTAATACCACTGACATTTTAATGAGAAATAGCTGTATTTTCCAAAATAAAAAAGTAGTGAAAAGAATGCTATTGTTTCAAAGTTTTGTAAAAATCTAAGACACCTAGATTCCCATATCTTTTCTGCCATCAGTTTGTTGTCATATATTGTTTTAGCTGAAGAATATGAAGAAAAGGGAGGAGCCTTCATGACTATTCTTACAGCTTTTTCAGATAACTATGATGATCTCTTTAGATGTTACACTAAAACCTGAAACTGGTAGTCTCTTAAAGCTTAATTGTGATGTAGAATCTGAAACCATATCAATGAACTTTTCATCTACTGTCTGTGTAGTCTGGGGCACAGTCCACAAGATTGCCCTTGTTTCTAACACTAGGGGTTCCGGAGAAACCCTCTAGTTTGATAATTCACAAGGATTCACATAATTTACTGAATGCTCTTATACTCACTAATAGTTTATTACAATGAAAGGGTACAGATTAAAACTGGCCAAGGGAAGAGGTGCATAGGACAGAGTTCCAAACATGGAGCTCAGTTGTTCTCTCCCCATGGAGTCATAGATGCTGTTACCTTCCTGGCAAGGATATGTGACAGTTTGCATCGAGTATCGCAAACCCATTAAGTTCTACTAAGCCTTGCTGTCGGGAGATTTTATAGGGGCTCTATAGTTGATTGTTTGAGTGGCTGACCTTTCATATTCAGCACCTCCCAGGAAGAGCTAACACTTTTAGTCTCCAACCCTTTCTGGAGGTAGAACAGATACTCTGTGGTCAAAGATATGCAAAGGCAGGACTGTCCAAGGGCCTAGAGATCACCTTCCAGAAGCCAAGAGCAAAGGCCGGACCTCTTTTTGGGTATGATTAATTTTCTGCATTGTACTCTGAATAGATCTTTTAACCCATGCATGATTCTGTTAATGTGAATCGGTCATTTGGAAAATTTTGACTCACTGAATATATGCACACCTTTCAAATGGTGATACATTTCTAAGTGTTGGTAAGCTATCAGGCTCATGGTGATGGATATGAGTTTTCCAATATTCTAATATTTAGTTGAGAATTAATTTTATCATTAGCAACAAACAGTCGTTTTCCTTGAAGTAACAGATTTTGTTCATTTTTTAAGATTGCCGAATACCCAAATTTGAATAACCGTAGTTTGTTAGTTATTTTGAGTAAAAATGATGTTCAGATAAAAAGTATCTGATTCAGCTCATTAACTCAAGCAATTAGAGAGGTGCTTTTCCTTGTGGCATCAGAAAGTATTCTCCCATTTTGTCACAGAATATTTTTTTAAAGTACTCAAGGGTTGAGGTTTAATGAATCAGTACTTATTACTATTTCCTGAAGGACATTTTAAAGTGAAACTGGCTTTTTTTTTTTTTTAACTGAGTGTCTAAGCAGGAAAGGAACATGACTACCAGTATAGTTTGGTGTCCGCATCTTGAACTGTGCAAAGGTGCCAGCAGTTTTATCCACCATTGCTTTTATGCCATCAGAGGAAATGTCAGCATAAAATAAAGAGGCAAATACATAGTGTTATTATAAAAAGTAGTTTTGACCTTGGAGTCCCCATGAAAAGGTCTCAGGACTCCAGTGATCCTTGGACCACACTTTGAAAATCACTGTTCTAAATAAAATGTGAGATGATTATTTTTGTGTAGGGTGACATAAGAATGAATAAACTTTGCTTTTCCATTCTATGTTTTTATTTCCCTGCTAAAGAAAATGATGGACTTTTAAACTAAATCTTTACTTTAGCTTTACCCTAATAGAAACAAATGGTCAGAAGCCAGATTTAAAAGTAACAGATTGTCAGCAAAGCTTATTGTTTTTATTTAGTTAACTTTGTGCTTTAATTAGTTGCTATTAAATTATTAATAGTTGAATTAACTCATAAGTGCTTTTGAAAATATTTTATACAAGTCTTTCAAATGAGGAAGCCAAGTTTAATCCACACTTTCAGGTAGAAACATCTTTGACTGAGGTAATAAGATAATAAAGAAAAGTTCTTCATAGTTGAGGTATCAACCTAAGAGAGTACATAAATATAATTCCCTATTGTCATGAAAATAAGCTGATTTTATTTTGAAAACTATAATTTTGTACATTGGCGTATTGCTTCCTTTTTAGTATCTAAGCATGATTGCCTTCTAAGTTTAAATTTTACTAATTATTGAGTTACTTTAAAAGGTCACTCAGTGATAAAATTATGCAGCAGTATAGCCATCTCTGTTGAGTAATGGCATTTATCGAAGTTTTAGAATAGGTGATATTTTTTGCCTAAAATCTACATCTAGTATAGTTCTATGTAAAGATATTAAAAATAACAAGCTAATTCATAAAGTCCCATATTATAAATGTGAAATATATCTTATTCTTATTTTAAAGTTCTTTGAACTATTAACTTTAAAGTTTTTTGTTCTGCCTCTATAATTCATTCCGTGGATAGACCCTTTTCCTATCTTTCTATAAAGTTTTATTTGTGTTTGGGAGGAAATAATTATATTGGAAATTTAATTCATTGGGAAGATGCCATAGCATTTGCAAATTCCTAGTAAGTAATGTTCCAGCTGAATGCTTTGCTCCTTTGTCTTTTGCTTCTCTGAGGCATCCACTTGAGTCCGTAGCTTTGCAAAATAAATAATATAATTTGGTTTTATCTCTCTATATGAGTGTTGGAATAAATCTGTTCGTGGTATGTGAAATGTTCCAGTTCGTGTTCAGCAGTGCCTGGGACATAATAGATCAATAAGTATCTGTTGAATAAATGAATGAAAATCATAAGTTGGGCACCAGTTACTGATTTTCAGTTCTTTTTAACAAGTATTTAGTCTGTTTCTACTATAGACATGTCTTTTTACATAGTAAATATTAAAATTAAAGAATATAATCCTGTTTGTTTTATTCATTCATATAGCGAACATTGTGTATGCATTGTATTGAGCATATTACATTATAGGAATGATTCATTTTCTCTCTGAAAACTTAATTTTAAAAAAGCTGAGTACATTAACTTTTTAGTTTCTTTTTTTCTGAGATCAGATTTTTATTGGTACACATTTGTAATAGGGTACTCTTTAGTTAGAATAATACCAACTTTCCATAAATAGCTAAAATTTTTCTAGTTGTACTGGGATATGTAAGGGTTGATAGGTATGGGAAAATAAAATCCAATTTCATTTCTGTTTGAGGAAATCTTTTTTTATTCCCTATTGAACTTAAGGATTCAAGATACAGGGAACAGTTTAAAGAAAACATACAGAGAACAAAAGTGTATCCCCCATGTTTGGGGGTCCCCGGCTGCTCTCACATTAGGATCTGAGAGGAAAGTATCTCCAGGTACACTTGAACAACACTATATAAGAAAAACCCAGTGTTCACTCCAGCTTTAGCTGGAGCTAAACTCCAGTATTACATGAGATTTTTATCTTTATAATTGAATTCCTATGAGTAGTATACAGATGTTAAAGTCAGAGAACTGAAAAGCTTACAACAGAAATAGATGTCACTTGCTCATTCTCCTCAACCCTTAATTCTACTTCTCAGCAATAACCGTTTTTAATACTTTTAGTATTTCTTTTATATTTACTTCCATATTTCTACATAAAAGTCTCATAAAATACTGCTTCTCATTTAAACACTGTTAATTTCCTCTTTGATGGATGTAGATTTAGTTATTTTATACATTCTCTCTGTCCTCCATTGTCACAATATCATTAGATCACATTTTATTGTATTTTAATTCTCTTCAGACTGAATTAGGTATCCTTCCTTAATGTATCCATAGGGGAAAAACCTAAAACCTTTGCTTTTGCAAAGGTTTGACTACTTCCTGTAGTAGGAGACTGTTAAAACTGTCTGCTTTCTTACCTGTCTCTCTTCACTAGACATAAATTCATTGAAGGTCAAGTGCAGTTTGTTTCCTGTCCAGTGCTTGGCACAGAGTAGGCATGTAATATGAAGATATATTTTGTTATTGAAATTCCTTAAGGTAGCATTTAAGATTTTCACAACCTGGCTTCATGTTCCTTTCTAGCCTCATGACTAGCCCTGCCCTTTTCGCAACTTCTGTGCTAACTGGCCCACACTACCAGTGCATAGTTCTCAGGCCCTCTGACTTTGCCAGTGCATTTTCTTCTAGTTAGACCTCCTTCATCTGCCTGGAAAACTTACCATATTCAAACCTTGCTTAGATGTTATATCCCCAGGGAAGTCTTTCTGAATGTCATGAGCAAAAGTAATAGATCTCACATTTTTATTTCAAGAGTTATTATTTAGTACATTGTAATCACTCCTGGGGTCTGGAGTCAGTCCTGAAATCAATCCTGACTCCATCACTTACTAGCTATGTGACTTTGGACAGGTTAGTTAATTTCTTCATACTTCAGTTTCCCACATGTAAAATGGGAATAATTGGGCTACTATGGGTATTTTAAAACACACACATGCATGTGAAGCCCCTTTACTTAGCATAGTACTTGACACAAGAGTAACTAATCATTAAATGTTAAATGTTATTGTTATTAGCTATAGTAAATTGTTCTTGATATACTTGTGTCCTTGGCTAAACTAAGTCCCCTATGGTCAGAACAGCCTTATTTAATAATAATATCTCTACTTTCTAGCACAGTGCCTGACCCAAGAGTATATGGATTGTTACTAAAATATATGAAAAAAGTAAATATCAGTTTTTCTGATTATTTGCAACAATTTTCATTTCACTGTGAACAAGAGCATATTTCTGGTGCTTTGTAGTGCTTAGCACATACTAGATTCTTTATTATTGTATTAACATAGGAACAAACTCAGGGAGGTAGGTTTATATTGTTTTTACAATATTGTTTATAGTGTATACGGTCTAGTCATCTATTGCTTTTGATCTTGTTAGAGTGCTACAGTGAAATAATTTGACCATGTGTTTTCAGTGGCTTTCATGGTTAAAAGGAAACAGGAGATTCTATTTTGCTGTGAATAATGTGATGGTGATTTTTCTTTCCAGAAACGAAATCCTGAAGTTCGACATGTAGATTTGGAGATATTATAGATTTGATGGAATGAATCACCTTGGAGGGAGCCTTGGAAATAAACTCTCCATTCTGCTCTCCCATACTGAAGAGAAGTCAACACCATTAGAAGCCATTTTTTTTTAGATGGAGGATATACTTTATGTAAAGGCAATTCAGCAGTTCACAGAATTAAACTACTACTTACTTCCAAGAGACATAAGTTAAATCAATTTGGGAATCATGTTTTTTTTGTTTCAACAGGAAGTACTTTAGTTAATTTAAATTGTTTGTAATTTCTCATTTTAGGCTGTCAGGGTGAATTGTACCTTGCAGTCATGTTTCCTTTCTCAACATTGGTAAAAATGAGCAGCATCTATAGGATTGTAATTTTTAATTTTGTTGCCACTGGAGATTTCACTCCATCAAACCCTGCCATTCTTGAACATTATGGCTAATTCTTGGTGTGTGGCTTTTACAGTCACTCCATTTCAAAGTCTGTCTTTCCTTATAGAATGTGGAAACTATTTCTACATACTTTGTAATTTTGCTCTGAGCACTAAGAGGAATGTTTGTTATCTATAAATGTTCATTCCAGAAATGGCTTAGTTACTGAATTGAAGGAAGATGTATCAGTATGCTCTTTTAGGTCATAGGAGTTGCCATGTTGTAAAATTTCTTACCTCTCTTTTGCAATTTTTTTCCTTATTTTAAGTTTTCTGATGGTAGATCTAAAATAGCCCTAGGTGTTTCCACAGGACAATGGGATGACTGTTTCTTGTTTTTGTTTTTTAACTGGCTTCAGTACCTTAATATGTATTTATTAGGAGATAATGCATTCATAAGCATTTTATCATTCTGTAAAATTGACTAGGAATATAACTTTACAAAGAGAACAGCATTTTAATTTATTTTTTAAAAGGCACTACTTATGTAAACCTGAACTGTAGGAAATGTTTGCTTTAAAGAGAAGTAAATACCTTATGTAGAAACTTGTTGCCGTGATTTTGTATAATATAGTCAATAGTGTTTGTAACATGAGTTTCTTGTGGTCATAAATGGATATTTGGCATGATATATAACTATAACATATAAGTAAGTACCTTTCTAATGATCATAAGGTATCAAGGTGAAAAAACACACAATTCAGTAATTGAAAATTTAGTGCAAAACTACACCTGTGTCTCCATCAAAACAGTATACACTTTCAATTGTTCAGGTGGCAGTGAGCATTTCCTGTGCAGGAGTGGTGGCTCGGTGCTTTCTTTGCTGGATAAGTGAGTGGATGACATAAGGACCCAGTCACCTGTGTTAGGTCATGTCAAAACTTAGATTGAGGTTTATGAATTTCAGCAGATTGTAATGCTGGAAACAAAAAATAAACATTTACTTAAAGGGGATATAATCGTAATGTTTTGTTCCAGAAAGGTCATTTATTGGAAAATTTCAAAACTTAACATGAGTGTACATTTTTTACCACAACAGAGCACTTTGCATGCTGTACATTTTAAGTGAAGTAACATTCCAGTTTTATTTTTTAAGATAGAAAATTGTTAGATGTATGTATACAGTTTGATTCTCTGTTCTTATGGTTTCAAATTCTTCACTCCCACTTTGTAAAAAACTTCTTGCCCATTATAATTCACTCTATACTTTGTGTTGTCTTCCCTCCCCTTTCCTACTTTTCCATTTGTTATTTCATGTCAGTGCCATATGGGAAGATACCAAATGATATCCAGTTTCTGCCTAGTAAATTACTCTGGAAATTTTCTAGACAAAAATAATTAACTTATTAAAAAAAAAATCTCGAAGTTGATGTGTGGAAGATATTCCAAATGGAAGGGGTTTTTTTTTAAAGGACTTCCTAAAAGAGGCCAATTCCTGGCATTTCTATGAGTTTTCTAATCTGATTTTGACTGAGGTCGTATCTGTTTGTAAATAATAATTGAAGGCTTACATTTCTGTTTTTCCTTTCTAGTTCTGTTTTCACTGATATTTTAAAGTCTGTTTAAGCAAATTTGACATGAAGGATTGAATATCTAGAATTTTTTTTGAGTATTTCTGTGGAATCAGGAAATGTATGACATTACTGGTCCTTTTTTTCCTTTTAGAGTCAAATTTGAATTTTAAAATAATACCGAGTCCAGGTTTCTTGTTTTTAGTTTTTTCCAAATTAATACTTCTTACTTTAAGTCTTGCCCTGATGCATAGCGTTTGAATATTTAAGCTTATAAACATTAATATTTTCAAGGCAAATAGCTTCTGTAGTAGAGTACTTGAAATCAAAGCAATGTTGGACAAAGAAAAGGGCAGTCAAGGTCCCATGACTCCCACTTGTACTAATCTGAGACCTGGAAACTATCAAAGGGCGTAAGTAAACTTGTTTGCAACTTTGACTTGAGAATGGATCTCTAAACAATAAGTAGCAGTCCAAAAATATGAAAGGTGGCACATTTTTTAGACAATAACAATGGGAGGATGATGGATAGAGAACTACTTTAAGAACTATTTTAACCATCTTGGCAGTCAGGTATCCAATTCCAAAGAGGGATATTCTTGAACATTTGTATACTGAGAAAACCAAGATAGGATCAAATTGGAAATTTTTGAACATTAAAAAAAAAAGTTAATTGATCTCTGCATACATCCTCTGACACACACACCAAATAACCAAGAATAACAAAATGGCTTAAGACTTGAATTTTGGGTATATGGTTTTAGTATTACCTTAATTATCCTATAATTTGGATAATGCTTTTTGCTAAAATTATTCCATCTAAAGGAAATGGCTTAAGTTTTAAATCTGATAACTTGAGATAGAATGCTGGGAACTACAGAAAATTGCATAGGCATCTGGAATTTATACTATCTTTCTTAGATTCCATTTGTCAAGCTTTGGCATTTCTTTTAAATGTGATGACCCCCAATTTGCCGAATTGTCAGAAGTCATTGAAGCAAAGAATTGAAGGTGAAATATTATTCAAAGATTGTCTTCCCTAAATCCCTCATCCCTGTCTCTGAAATGGAACTTTGGAAGACATTTATGTAGACAATTGGTCTGACAGCCTATGTATTTGCATTAAGTTTACTGGCATCTTCTAGACTTAGTTTTATGGAAAAGGAAATATTTTGTTTCTATTACATTGTATTTTAGCTGTCTGATTTCATTGGCAGATTAAGATGGTCCTGGTCCCTCAGGATGCTTTTTCCTTAATAAATGTTGTATGTAAATAAGAATAGCTCACTTACTAGTTTGGGATTCTTTTTCCTGATAAATAAGTGTTTCTTAAACATAAATCTTTTCTTTACCTCATACTAGAACTAAACTGTGTAATCTGATAACATTTTACCTTAAAAATCATGCCTGTTTTTTAACAATTTATTATTCATTGAGTATGCTTGTTTGTACGTTTCTTGGTTTTACAAAACCAAAATATAACAGGTCTTAATCATTTTATAATCAATTTTCAGTACAAAGAGAACTATTGCTAGTATACCATCAGTATATCGTGTGTTTGGTAAAGCACAAGTCCAAACATTTACATCTCTCAGTGATACATGTATTATATTCTGACAAAACTAGTTACTTAAACATGATAATTAGGTTATTTCTTTTGAGCTGTGTCTATATAGTATATTTAGAGAAAAAAAATATAGAACTTTTAGAAAAACACCAAAAGCTACAAGCTAGAGCCATTCTGCACTGGGATCCAAGTTGAATTCTATACTAATCTTTTAGGAATTCTAACTGTACTTTGTTTTTCACAAGAAGCTAAACCAAAGTAATTTAGTATTTTGAGATGGCATTATTTCCTCCCCCAAATCTAAACATACTGAAAATAGGAGCACTATAGTTTAGGATTTGCATAGCAAAATACAGAATTTTGTCTGTGTCTTTAAGGACTTGTAGAGGTTTTAAAATAGCCTTAAAAGTAAAAACATGCCTGTTTGTGTTATAATAGCTATCAACAGGATAGTTTGAGCTCATTATGCCAGGTACCATTTTACATGTAATTAACCTATCTAATCCTTACAAAGAGCAAGTGAAGTAGGGATTGTGTTCATTTTTTTGCATATGTGGAAACAGGTATAGTAGATACTATGTCCAAGGACACTCAGCTAGTAAGAGTCAGAATTTGAACTCAGGGAGTTTGGCTCTTTATAAGTCACTTTGCTGAGCAGAAGAGAACAAGAAAAGTAACTAAAGAAAGTAGAAATGAAATACTAATTTTGTTATTTAAAAGAAGCAAATGAATTTTTTAATATTCAGAATAACTTCAGATCTAATTAGGACTGCTTGGATGGGGGATTGGTGCAGGGGGTTGGGGGTGGAACATTGACATTTTATGAAAGCCAGGGAATTGTCTTACAAGCATTACTGGCCACCTTAGAAACATATAACCAGAATATAATATTTAGTTCAACTTTTAGTCATTGATTTGAAATATGGAGGAAGGAAATTTAGGGGAAAGTATGAAAATTAGCATTGGTCAAAAAAATTTTTTTAACCCTGAAACTATTTGAACAAAAAACATTTTATGATCCAACATTAGGAATGTTCAAACAGATGTATAGAAAACATTCTCTCTCAACTCTGAGACCTTAGCTACCGACTTTTATTCTTCCAGAGGCAAATAATGTTAAAGCTTGTGACATGTCTTTATAGATATGTGCACATACTTCTACATTAATGGCTCTTATAATTTAAAAACTACACAGCCAATTTCCAGAGTTCTGTGTTAACTAAAAATTATTATATCAAGAGGATGTAACCCAGTATAGTGCTGTGCTTTACCATGTGGTAACCACTTGTGACAGGGCGCTGTTTACATTTGAAATAAATAAAATTAAAATCCCCAAGTTGCATTAGCTATATTATCATGTGCTCAATAGCTACATGTTACTAGTGACGACCATCTTGTATAGTGCACATACAAAAAATCATCACAAGTTTCTTTTGGAGAGCACTAATATAATAAAGTAATCCTAATCTCTTAAATATTTGAGAGTATTTTAAATTATATGACAAAATACAGATCTTGATTCACAATGTGTTACATCCTGATAATCCCATTGTAAGTTGAAAATGCATTTAACACACCTAACCTAACCTATCTATTGAACATACTTAGCCAAGCCTGCCTTAAACATGCCCAGAACATTTACATTAGCCTACAGTTGGGCAAAATCATCTAACACAAAGCCCACATTATAATAGAGTATTGAATGTCTTATATAATTTATTGAATCCTGTACTGAAAGTAAAAAACAACAGTTGGAAGGGTACAGAAAGGTGGTAACTACCAGTTGTTTACCCTAGTGAGTGATCATGTGGTTGACTGAGAGCTTCTCTGTTCACTACCACTGCCCAGCATCACGAGAGAGTATCACAAGCATGTCACTATGAAGTGTGGTTTCTACTGAATGCACATTGCTTTGGTACCATTGTAAAGTTGAAAAATCTTAAGTTGGGACCATCTGTATTGCCTGTTTATGTTGGTGGTGGCAGGGGAAGTAATTATAGCTTGGGTCTTTAAAAATTGCATTGAAGGTGGAGCCAAGACGGCGGCGTGAGTAGAGCAGTGGAAATCTCCTCCCAAAACTACATATATCTATGAAAATATAACAAAGACAACTCTTCCTAAAATAGAGACCAGAGGACACAGGACAATATCCAGACCACATCCACACCTGCGAGAACCCAGTGCCTCGCGAAGGGGGTAAGATACAAGCCCCAGCCCCGCGGGACCTGAGCGCCCCTCCCCTGAACTCCCGGCCGGAGGAGAGGAGTCGGAGCAGGGAGGGAGAAGGGAGCCCAGGACTGCTGAACACCCAGCCGCAGCCATCCGGACCAGAGTGCAGACACAGTGCATGTGTGGGGTCCTGGATCCTAGGGAAACAGGGCAGCAGGACCGGTGAGCGGGTGCCTGAGGCCGACGCCAGAGAACAAAGAAACAGGAGCGGCCATTTTTTTTCTTTTTTTTTGGCCAGTGCTTTTTGGAAGTCTTAAAGGGACAGGGACCCCAATACTAGGGA